GTTTTCTCCTGTAATGCTTACTTTCACCATACTTTTCAAAAAGCAAATAATGGTGGCTTTAGTACTTGTATGATGGAATGCCGTTCTCACAGACCAAAAAATGACCTTCCTTCCATGTAAGAAAGATAGAAGCCCAGTAGTTTAAAGTCACTATGGCCAGACTTGAATGAACCATATAAAGAAAAGCAAAAATTCTTCTGACGTAGATCCCTCAATCCTCTCCCTAAACTGTCTTTTTCATTTATTTAGGAACAGTCCAATCTTTAAATCCCAAGATGATGGCCACAGAAATAGGGACTGCATCTCCCACCACCATCTTTATGTACAGAATTAAGTAATTGCTATTTTCCTACCTCAGACGCAACAGATTTGGACATTTCTTTGACTGTGCTAAATTCTGGGTGCCACGCTTATGAACATTATGTGGAAAACCTTACTTCAGTAATATATACGAACATTACCTTCTTGTGGAATAGTGTTATCCTGAACCCTCTTTCCAGCTGCCTCCTAACCATAATACAGCCTCAGTAAAGTTTTACTTGAGACTTGTTCTGAGCTATGTCCCAAATACATCATCCACATGCCAGCAAGTCCAAATATAGAAGGGTGACATAGTGAAGTCCTAGAATGATGTGACTCATCCAATGATGGATGCACTTCAAAAATATTTTCAGCAGGTGTAGACTTCTGCAGTGTTCAGGTTGTCATAATAAAGAAAATTTCACCTCTTGCCATATTAAATATTAGGGAAAAGATAGTCTGTCTTGCTTTTTGGAGAATCTGATAAAAAATGAACTTGTCTTTGCATTCTTAAGTGTGTCAGTGAAATTGCACTTTCCTGTTCAACTTTTATAACTTTGACAAAAAATAATTTATATTCCTGTTAGTCATGCAGAGCCAACACAAGATGTAGGGAGCTGGATTATGCATATGTCCTCTTGTGTGTCATCAAAATTGTTTGTTATATTATGTTCTAATTGTATTTATTTACACCCAGTGTAATTCCTCAGTGGTTTTGTCTACAATTTGTAAAACCATTAAAAGCTGTGATGGTGCCTAAGAAATAAGAATCCCACATAAATTTCAGTCCACAAATTTCATTTGCCAGGCTGGTTTATAGAAAAAGCTCCTTTAAAAAAAATGACAGCCCAGTAAGCAATTTTCAATTTGAAAAACAAGATGGCTTTTTACATCGTGCTGTCTTGTAACCCTGCCTGCTGTTAGCAATAAGATAGAATCAGTTGGATATTAAGCAAATGGTATATATGACATTTACTATTGAATTTTTTAACCATTTTAAATTTCTTCTAAATGTTGTTTTTAATGGTTTTTTATTTGTTAAATAAGTCAATTTGATCTAGAGTTGAAGAAAGACCGAGACTAAAGTAAAAGAGTAGAATAGCACATTTTAACATCCATTTTAGAGCAGAATTTCAGTTTTAAGGCCTAAACCTGTTTCCTGTGAATGAAATAAGATTTTGACTATTGAATAGAATGGAAATAATATTGGTAGGCCAGTGTCCCATGGCTCTACAAAGGGCAGATAGGTATAGATGCTATTTAACTTAAAAATCTAACTCTCTAAATTCTAAGCTTACTTAATTTGAGAAGTTTCAAAGGGTTATAAAGCTTTCTCTGCTTTTTCATTTGTCATGTTAACATTAGCTTTATATCACTCCAGTGGTTCGTAGGCCACAATAAGCTTATAAAACAATTAAAGCTACAATAACTGTTGTAGTAACTACACAAACATAGCATTTTGTCTGTGTCAGAGTACTAATGAGGGAATTATTTATACTGACTGGTAAAATATAATGCAATAGACTGAAAGGAGACCAGTATATCTTCCCAGAAGGTAAAAACATTACTTTATTGTTATTGCTTCAGTTGTTGTAAGCAATAAACATTGTCTCTAGAGCAGTTTTCATTGACTCAGCAGGAGATAGAGTATAATTTATCTAGGCTTTCAAGTAAATTATGATGTAGTAAATATTGAAATAAGAATAGAGAGGGTTATTGTGATGAATAAACTTCAAACCAAACCAAGTATTTCTTTCCTCTGCAATGGGGCACAGCACATTCACATAGTTAAATGTTGTCACATCTCTGCTATAGATGCAAAAATTATTATAAGCCTGTATTGCTATCTCAGCTTTTTCAAGTGAAATCATGCAGTTGATATTACATGAATGTTACTAACACAGAGATGATGAGTATATATTTTAAATGTTCTGGGTATTTCTGGTTCTTGGTATTTTAAATAAATTTAATAAAGTTATCCTTAGCTAAAATCTATATTATCAAATGTACAACTTTTGGGTACTCTGTGAAGCTTAGCATAAGAACAGTCATACTGTGTCAGACAGGATACTAGTTTTCCAGCAGATGGAATGAATAGAACAGGCAATCATCACATGATCTGTCCCCATTCCCAGGTTTTAACAACAAAGGCTAGGAACACTTGAGAGAATGGTTTTGCATCTCTGTCCATCCTGGATAACAGTCCTCCTGTGTATAACTAGGATTGTATATACCCTCTCCTCCCCAAATATATTGGAAAACTGAGGCACAGAAGGGTTAAGTGGTGTGCTCAGTGTCAAACATCAATTGCAGAGGTGGGAAGAATTTGCAGTAAGATGATCTTGAAATTATTGTTGACTATATTTAATAAAGATTTCTGGACTTGCTGGCAGGCTTCTGTTGATCTGTCAGTCAGCTTTCTGCCCACTCAGCATATTGACAGCTAGAGTCAGGGGGCTAGCATTTCTTATTAAATCACTGAGATACCTGACTTGTACAAAGAAATGCCAGGCCTCTTATGCTAGAGGTTGGTTGGTGTTTTTATTGGGCTGGATGGGCAGACAGCTGGCTTTTCCATGGCCATAATGCATGTACCACCCTCAAGCACCAGCAACTGCCAAATCAGCACAATTGGGAGGCATGTGTTGACCCCCCGCACCCCCCAAATAATAATCCTTATTTGCCCAGCTCTGTGTCCTTTCCCTCTTCACTCC